TTTCTTACGTAATTCTTTCTTTATTACCTTACTTATCTATATATTACTATACCCTTTCCTTTCTTATTATTCTTTCGTTATATATATATATATATATATATATATATTTTTTTTCCAACTTTTATAACACTTTTGAAATTACAGTTCTATAAATTGAAACTTATATTCACTTGAAATATTATTGCTTAAAATTTTCTTACATATAATTGAAGTATAACTTCGATATTATTTCTTTACATAACTAAACTTCGAAAAGGAAAAGATACAAAATCTTATATCACTCAAAGAATAAAAATACGTATTTCTATCTATCTACCTCGAAAACTTTTCTCTATTTTCCCTTTTTAGTTTAATTTCGACTATTATCGATTCGATGGTATCAAAACGAGATAACAATAAATGATAATATCGTGGAGGATCTCGATTTTACCAGGAAATTCGATATAAACACAATGCAAGGATAAATCGACGGGTTGGAATCATCATCGATAGGGGTGTTTACGGTGGGGTTTATCGCGCCGTTTATATCGAGGCCTGGCTGTGATCGACAGCCAAGTCCATTAATCAACGCAAACTCGATTAAGAGTCACGAAACGGTTCTCTTTCAACCCTGATTGTGCGATCCTCTTGCACAATCGAAGCCCAAGGGTACGGCACGTTTAAAGATGAAAACGAACGATCGTGGCGCGGTGTAATTGGAATCTACGAAATTTGTCGAGGTGTAAAATCGGGCTGATTCGAATTTATCGATAGAAATTAATTAAGGGATTAATTTCAGTCTAGCGGGAATGTTCAAGAGGGTGCATAAATATTTATAGAATTGTTGAAACTTCGATTAATTAAATTAAATAAAGGAATTAAATATTTTATAGTCTAAGCGTTTAAATTGTATTTTGTAAACACAAGATATAAAAAGATGCTATGAAAGAAATTCTGAATTAATTTATTGATTTTTATATATATTCGCTTTAAGGTTGCGTAATTAGATGACTAATAATTTCTTAATAAAATTATTTAATTTCTGATTTCAATAATTTCTTGGTAATAAAATTCTAACTTTGAAATGTAAATCGACGATAAAGTTTTTGAGGAATATTTAAATATACAGATGTTAATACGAAAAATTAAACGAAATAGATTGATAATATTTAAAAATATTTATATATTTAAGAATAAAGTGATTGCGTTCATGCTTGTCCTTGATTGATTTCTACTTGATTTAAATTTTAAATTATTCATTGGTAGAAAATTGTTATTAAAAAAATTGAAATCATATCCTGTTACGTAAAGTTACGAGAAAATATTGCTAATAAATGACTAGTTAGTTAGATCTGCATTGATGAGTGTGCACACACTCGTACGTAATGAGACATAATTCAATTTGCAGCGAGTATTACTTCCCTACGTTGATTAGACGGTATTAATTAATCTGAAGTTCGAAAGAAACTTATCTCTTAGATGTTCTTAACGAGCTTTCATATCATTTAGATATTTTAAATACAATTCTGATATACGAATATCAAAGAAAATTTGTTTCGACTAATATATTTTTTGAATAAAAAAAAAAAAAAAAAAAAAAAAAAAAAACAATGTCTCTTTATCGTTATAGTGATAAAGTAAGGAAGTTTCCTAACAAGAAAAACGTCAGAAAAAGCCAGAGGTGTTTATTTCTTAAACAACTTTCTCCATCGAATTAAGGCGATGAAATGTAATTTTTCTAATGATGAGAAAATGAAATAAGAAACTTTCGTAACGAGAAAAAGTTAGAGACAATTAGATTCTTTTCGAATATTTCTATTACTAAATAAGCTCTCTAGTCCGATCTATCAATTTGATAATAGAATGATTGTTAATTAAATAAAAAATTCGAAAAGTTTAAAAATTTGATCAGTTTAGAATAACTGTTGTTAAACTTTATAATAAACAAACTAAATAAAGAAAGAAACAATAAAATAAATGAAAAAAAAAATTGGAAAAAATCATGATATGATTATTTCAGAATATGTATATATTGAATTTTTCTTTAGATTAATTAAAATAATCCTTCTCAAAAACAATGAAAATAATAAAACACAATACTTCTTTTGCATAATTTCATTAACAACGAAACAAAAAACTTTTTCTTAACAAAGATTTAAAAAGAAAATGAACAAATATGATTTTTTTTCAATATTTTGATCGCAAAACTTAATTAATGAAATTTATTTTATGTAATAAGGAGAAATTAAAAATCTGAAATCGATTGTTTTTCTTCTCTATTAATTAATAATAATAAATAATTCCCAAGAATTAATTTCTTTGATTCAGAATACAGACAAGATCGTCGAACAAAAGAACCGAGATCGAGACAAAGGTAAGGAAATAGCGAAACGTCCAAGTCAAAATTGCACCATCCAATCTTCGTATACTAGTCACGTTTCGTACTACGTATACTGCCAACGTTTCGTAAACAGTGAAATTCACTTCGTAGTTTGACTGAATATTTGAATAACGAACGAGAGCATGTCAATAAGTTTGATGAGATAAACTGCGACATTCCCAGACTGTCGACAAGGAAACGTGACCACATTCCGGAAATCAATAAACCGAAGAATAAGCTTAAGAATAACTTGAACAGAAGTAAACATGTTAAATCAAATTTTTCTAGTTTAGCATTGGTATGAAAAAAGATGAATCACAATTGCATTTCTATGTTATGTTACACGCTTGTTTCTTTGTGTAACTTGTTTGAAATTTCTTGAAATTTCTTTTAGATCGTCTAATTCGATGTTTCTAAAATAATAAAACATTCAAATTATAAATCTCAATACCATTCAACTGAAACGTACTCTTCTAAAAAGTTTTATATTAACAACGACGCTTGATCAAAAAATAAAACAAATGTTTAATTATAATTCTAATTATAAACTAATCCCAATTTCTAGAATCGAAATACACTTGCCTCCCTACAACAAATCGATCAAAAAATAAAATAAGAATCCTACTCACCATCCATAGTCATGTTATCTCCTAGCTTCATTTCGATGCTCACTGTTCCGAATGGATCCACGCTGTTCCAACCGACTTGTTTTCAATCGAGCCTTGCTAGATGGGAATACGAACGATTATTTCTCCGCAATGTCACTTTTTCCTTTCTCTCTTGTCCTTAGATAGATATCCAATTGCTAGGGATCCCTAGACGATCTCCTTTTCCCCCCAACGCGATTTCTTCGCGCTTGTTAGGTGAGTGGCTGCCGTGTCGGCGATTACACGCCTGTCTCTTGCCATGGTTAACGTCGTTTCGCGGCAAAATAATCAAATTATCAAACGATTCGACGTTCCACCAGCCTGCTGACACACGGACCAATCGATAAATCGTTACTTCTTCGAATCTTCGCCATGGACCATGATTCTTCCGCTTCCTGTGAGATCATCGTACTTGTCTAAAGGAAATCGAAATTTCTGATCGACTAGATTCGGGTTGGAGCTTGGTTATCTTTCGGGCAAGAGCATTTATCATCGATGTTAGAGAGATTTGCAACTTCTCATCTTGGACCTGTGAAAAGAAAAAAGGAATATTAGTATCATAAATAATTTTACATTTAATTGTACACGTATAGATAATGTCTTGAGCACGTTATTCAATGATTTGATCGAGTATCAACTCTTTTTAAATATTATAATTATATATCATCAATTGTTAGAAAGTATGCTTGTTATATATTCCAGAATATCAAAACTTTGCATACTTTCTGGAGATATATATATTCCTTATGAGCTTTCTAACAGATTTTAATAAAATCTGAACTTTAATAATCAACGTGATAATGATAATACATTTTAAGAAAAATATTTATATATAGAACATCTTTACTTACATACTTTCAAAACTTCTTCACGTTGCATCACAAACGAAAGAGTATTTCTCTAACAGATTCCAATAGAAACCTTGTATGAATCAAATATTTAAGAGATATTTAAATTAATTATTCATAAAATAAATTTATTTAAAAAAAAATTCTAAAATCTTATTAAAGAAACGTATTAAGTGATTTATTATTTTGTTTTTAGTTATAGTAATGAAAGAAGAAGACATTTATATCCAAAAATCAGAAAAATAATTTTGAGAAAGAATTGAAACAAAAATTTTCCATTATAAAAAAAGAATACCTTTATATCTGATTCTTTCCAAACAAAATAACATTTAATAAACTTCTTGCCAATCGATCATTAACTAAAACCGAGTTTCACGAATTTTATTTAAAAAAGAATCACGAAGAAATTCGAATCAGTAAATACTAATCGCTTTGGAATAATCAATCGAACCCTTTAGAGGATTCGTTGAAAATTAATCTCGATCCATCGAGCGCGTATAACATCGTTCTTTATTCATCTCTGGCCGACGAATATCCGGGAAACTGGGCCACAGAAACTCAATGGTCCTTCAATTCGGCCAAAGGACACGGCATTATAATCCGTTGTGTTCCAAAGGGACTTAGTGTACTTAATTCGCTCACAACGACCTAAATATGTTTAGGTTTACGTCACACGTGACGCACACATGATTTCTAACACTTTCAACCATGTGCATCGTGACGTACGTAATGTTGATTGACAAGGATCGATGTAGCTATTATTATTACACATCGTCTTTGACGATGCTTTCACGTCGAAACGAATGTTCGCGGTAAAAATATTGGGATTTTGATGCACAGTTAATGTGAAAAGTTTAAGGAAAGTGATTATAAAAAAATCTACAGAAGTTCGAATTATTTGATATATGATTGGGTAGATATGATTACGTTGTAATTTCGAAGTTTTGATATCGAAAAATTTTGATTTTGCATGTCAATATCTTGAGAATGAGTTGTACAAAAGATGGAGTACAGGAAGATAATAGTTTTTGACATGTTGTTTTTATATAAATTTATATTCAAGAAAAAGTAAATTAAAGTATACCGCAGTTCATAATTCTTTATATTAAATAGAAAGTATCTTTGCTAATATAAACAAATTTCATGTAATATTATCATAAGAATAAAAAAACCTATCATTATAATGTTCATTACACAAGTTCATTACAGTGATATGTAAAAATAACATTGTTGATTAAATCAATATTACAAGAAAGAAACGTAAATCCATTCTTCCAACTTCTCATTTTTCATTCGAATATCAAAAATACGAGAGAAATACTCTAAGAAAAAAAAGAGAAAAAAATGTTATTTGTTAATGAAACTTTTAATATTCTATATATATTTCAATGAAGAAGAATCTAGAATGTATGCATAAAGTTGAAAAAGCTTTTTCGAATCGTAAAGTAAATCTTTATAAACAAAGTATCTAACGTGCCGTTCAGATAAGGTTACGCGTTTATTATTTCCGGCTATAATTCTGTTTCCGCTAACGATTCCTGAGCGCAAAGTGGCTAGGAATATAATTTTTATTTTTATTCATTCCTTCATTCAACAAAGAGAATTTTAATTTGGAAATTTTATATATTTCGCAAAGTTGAGAAATTAATGGAAGGCGAAATACATAAAGTATTTTTAATAAAATTTTATTAACGTTCTACAAAATCCTTAATTTTATATGTCCTTTAAAATATCATTATCGATTAATGTTTCAATAATATTATTTGATGTTAATGATTATTTTTTATCTTTATCAGTAAGTATGTTCGCATAGCTATGCATATGCTTCAACTTGTTATTAAAATAAAAATTATGTTATATTGTTGTTTGCTTTGTTTGCTTTCCATGAAAAGTATTTAGTCTATTTACTAAGAAATAGAAAATTAATTTTCATAAAATTTTCATAAAATAATATTAATCGAAATTTAAAAAATCGAAAGGAAATTCTAACATTTCGCGAGGAAAGAGTATTGCATCTTTTTTCCTTTTTTATAATGTCGTCTGTAAAGTGATAAATATGTTGAGTCCTTAACAGACGATAAAAATGTTATATGGCTTCGCCTTTCAAAAATAGCACAACAAAAGGGAGTAGCGCGTTATCACACAAAATTCATAGATATGTTGAAATTTATTCGATACTTGGAATTCTTGAATGTACTTCGTGTCCTGATCTGAATTTCATTTTCAAAATAATTTTCTCTCTTTTTCTTTTATTTTGATAAAGAGAGCAACAACAAACAAGAGAAAAGAAACGTAAGAATGTAAGATTTAAGACACAAAGGATATGATAAAATAAAAAAAATAATAAAGATAATAAAGTATAATAGTTAAGAAAAATAGAATAATAAGAGTAAGAGGAAATCGTGTATAGAAAAGTTCTATAGATTTTTCGTTAAATAATCACCAATTAAAACGAAATTCATCAAACTCTCGGCACGGGTTCAAAATGACCCGTATTGGATCACGTTAATTAAGTCAATATTTATTTTTAATCGATCTCGATAATACAAATCATCATTCCCTTCCCAATCCCTTCATAGAAACTAATCTGATCTTAAACTTTACGACAACTATGTAGAAAATTCCAATTTGAAACAAAAAATAAAACTTCAATACAAAGTTTTGTCTTATTAATATTATATTTGATATACAAAGTTTATAAAATAAGTAAATGCATCTATTTAAAAACATACTTTATAATTTATATTGTTTTATATTTAATAATAACTTTTACATAAGTAATTTTAAATCAAGTAACGATATAAAATAGTAAAATACCAATCATTCCTTACTGAATCATAATCTGTGATTGTGAAGATTTATTACTATACATTCTTTTTTGTAAAGAAATTCACATTTATTTTGTTTTGTAGAAAATAAGAAGACTTTGCATAAAATCAAATATAACACGTATAAAACAAAAAACATAGATTATATACTCTCATTAGAAATGCATTTTTAAAAAGATCAAAATAGAGATATGTATAATCAAAACGAGATTCTACATACGATAATATTAGCAAAAATACTAAATTGTTGTAATAAATAAATTCAAATTACTTTAATAACAATATTCAGCTTCGTCCACTGTTTGAAATATCAAGTCTCATATCGTAAGCATCGAACGAATAAAAGTCAACAGGAAGAGTTATATTAGAATTCTTGTGTCGTTCGTATTTAAGAGACTTCTAGAAAAAGTAGTGCAAGTGGACAAAAACTTCCAGTTTGATAAAGTTTCGCGAGAGCTCAGTTCACGTTTTTACTCGGAATGCCATCCCTCAGGATTAAGTTTTTCGAGGTAAAAATCACTCTGCACAAGTTTAGCAGGCTGCATCAGCAGCGCCCTCTATCCGGTTCAACCATCTTGCATTATGTACCATCTGGTATTCCAACACACTTTTCGTATTCTGCAGACGTACCAAGCTGCTCGTAAATTCAGATCAGCTCCCGTTAAATAACCAAGAACTTAAGATAGCTTCCTAAGTACGTCGCGTTGCGTTTTGTGCGTCAAGATATACACATTTGGTCGCGAGTGAGAGTTTCCCCTGATGGCGCCAGAGTCGTTGATAAGATGGGGGACCCTAGATCTTACAACATAATTTGAGGATTTATTCGAAGGCTTATCAAACGAACGAGTGAAAAAATATTTTGAAAAGAATTTGAAAATTTGTAAATTGTAAATATCAAATTAAGAAAATTTGAAAATTTTTATTAACAGCAATAAGGAAATGTATTATAATAAGTAATTTTTTCAATGGATATTTTTAAACGTGATAATAATTTGTAAATTTATTCAATGATTTATTGAATGATTATAGTAATTATAGTAATTATTGATTAATTTTAGAGAGAATTTATAAATTATGATTAAGAAAATTTGAATTTTTGAAAGTAAGAATGAAAAATATAATAAGTAATAATTGTAATTTAGTGGATATCTTTACATTTGATAGTGATTTTGAAATTTATTCGAAGATTTTTCTGAATATTAATAAGCAGTCTGAGATCTTGGTTGTGGAGAGAATTTGAAAATGAAAAATAAGATTAAGTGAATTAAATTTTAGTTAAGAAAATTAGAAACTTTTGTAATCAAGATAAAACGTACAATAATAGTGAAATTTATAATTTAATACAAGTAAGAAATAAAATAAGAAATAGCGATTATGAACTTTAAATTGGATATTTTTAAGTATTTACCATTCGTAAGCGCGAAATATTTAAATGCGTAGAATCGTATTTCAATATTTAATGTAATTTTTATTCTGTACCATATTCTGAATAATATATATCTATTTTCATCGAGATACTTTAATTTTAGATAAATTAACTCTAGTTAAAAGTATGCAAAAAAAATTTTCCTTTAAAATTATATATATATATATGTGTATTTAAATGTAAGAGATTAATAAGATTTGCCATTGCTAATTCTGCATTCTCTTATGAGAAACAATATCAATATGGAACAAATATTCCAATAATATATTCCAAATGTAATGTATTGGAAAATTATGCGTTCACCCAATATCAACTGATTCTCTGAAACACATGTAATATATTTTGAATGTGCTAATTAATTAATTTGTACATTTTAAAGTAAGCAAAATGATTATACAATTGATTTGAAAATTACACGTACATTATA